GCTGAAGTCACACAGGCACATTCTGCCCGTTCCATGTTGAGAAACCAGCTTCTTTTAAGAACATCAATGGTGTCTATGGTTCCATTAGAGGAAAAGTATAACAGCGACAGTGTAAAGGCCACAATGGAAGGAATGTTGAGAAAAAGGTTCCTACGCGCCTCTATAATCATGGGTCAAGTTTCCCCCGGACAGCCTGCGGTTCTGAATATCAGTAAAACTACTTTCATGTCAAGTGCTGCCTGCAATCAGAAGGAACAGAGGCACCTTTCACACAGGAAAGAAAAACACTGCGGGCCCTTTAAATGAACAAAGAGCTCGTTAGCACATATTTCCCTGCATGCAATGTGATGTGGAAATAAACATATTTATTCTCCCAGAAAACTGCTTTGGTATTCACATGTTTAATTCTTTTGTTGGCACTGGAAGAACACAAAAGAAGCGGAGGAAACAAAATCTGAGACATTCCACACAAAACGTCAAAAATGGCCTGGACAAAATGATTGGCATCCTCAACTTAACACTTGGAAGCACCCCCCCTTTGGAAGAAAAAACTGATTTTATTTGTAAAAATCAATGAGTCTTTTACATCTTTCTAGTAGCATCTCTTCCAGCTGCTGCAGGCCTCTCAGATTTGAAGGGTTCCTTCTCCCAGCTGCTGTCCTTAGATCTCTCCACAGGTGCTCTATGGGATTTAGATCTGGACTCATTGCTGGCCACTTCAGAACTCTCCAGTGCTTTATCTTAAACCATTTCTGGGTGCTTTTTGAAGTATGCTTTGGGTCATTGTCCTGCTGTAAGACCCATGACCTCCAGCTGAGACCCAGCATTTTGACACTGGGCCCTACACTGTACCCCAGAATTCTTTGGTAGTCTTCAGATTTCATAATACCATGCAAACAGTCCAGACAACCAGTGCCTGAAGCAGCAAAGGAACCTCAATACATTAGCGAACATCCTCCATGTTTGACTGTAGGGATCGTGTTCTTTTCTTTGAAGGCTTCTTTGTTTTTGGTAAACAGTAGACTGATGTGCTAACAAAAAGCTCTATTTTTGTCTCATCTGTATAGAGGACATTCTCCCAGAAGGATTGCGGCTTCCACAGGTACGTTTTAGCAAACTCCAGTCTGGCTTTTTTATGTTTCCGTGTCAGCAGTGGGGACCTCCTGGGTCTCCTGCCATAACGTTCCTTTTCATTCAGATGGCGACGGCGAGTGCGAGCTGACACTGTTGTACCCTGAGTCTGCAGGTCAGCTTGAATTTGTTTGGAAGTTGATCAGGGCTCTTTATCCACCATTTGAACAATTCTGCGTTGTAACATTTAATCAATCTTTCGTCCACGTCCAGAGAGATTAGCTAAAGTGCCATGGGCTGTAAACTTCTTTACAATGTTGCGCACATTGGACGCAGGAACATTAAGATCTCTGGAGATGGACTTGTAGCCTTGGGATTGTTCATGCTTTCCTATAATTTTGGTCCTCAAATCCTCAGACAATTCTTTGCTCTTCTTTCTTTTCTCCCTGCTGAGTGTGATACACACAGACACTAAAAAGCAAGACTGAGTCAGCATTTCTCCATTTTAACTGGTTGCAAGTGGGCATTTCCATATTGCCTGCTACAGGTGAGTTGAATTACAAATTAAAGGAGCATCACATGCTTGAAATACAATTATTTCTTACAATTCTGATAAGGTGCCAATAATTTTGTCCAGGCGATTTTTTACGTTTTGTGTGTAATGTCTCAGATTTGATTTTTTTCTCTCTGCTTTCTTGGGTTCCTCCAGTGCCAACTAAAGAAACAGACACGTGAATACCAAAGCATTTGCAATTGCAACAATTTTCTTGGAGAAGTGGTGCATTTTCTGACATAAATGCAGGGGTGGCAATATTTCGTGTCGGCAGGTAGTGCATCTGTAAAGTTCCTCCGTGTTGTTCGGACCACGGGGGGAACGGAGCATGGGGGGGGGGATGGTAAACTGCTCCATATGGATTCCATGCCTGGCTCCCCATTCAAAGACGGGGTGGGCAGCACTGAATTCAGTGACCTTTCGCAGATTAGATCCCCCTGTGGCTCGACTGACAACATGAATCACGCTGAGCTTCTCGCCGAGGCCCAGTGAGCTGCATTCCATTCATTATACGCTGAGAGTCAGAGGTAAACAAGGCAAAACAGATCCCAAGGATAGTAGGGCGTCCTTCTACCGTATACAGAAAGATAATTATTAATGAACAAAGACTAATTTATGATGTTAGGCCAAGCACGCTAAGTTGCTAAGCAGCTTCACATCTGATGCGGACCCTCTAATATTAGCAAATTTACCTACGTGTCTGTGAAACCCGTTACCTACTCAGGCATCGGCTGATGTGCGAGAGACCTCAACGCTACGCTGCTTCCCGTGGAGGGGGGGGGGGGG